AAACCTCAAAGCCACCTCGCATGACTATTCTGTGCTTCAGGATGAGCAGATGGGATTGGAAAAGCATCTTGCAACCTTCCCTGCCAGGCACACAATGATTACGAAACTGATGAAGCTCCAAAAGAGCCCCATGGATCTTCATGCTGATGTCATCATTATGTATCTGGCTTTGGTAATGCGGTAGTCAGTCTTTCCCGATTCTGCCTGATTACTATCAAGCATGGAATGACCATGAGAGATGGCTTCGGGGGTTTACAGTAAATCAGGTAATGGTATATGGCTCTGACCTATATAGCACAGCTCTGCATGTTAGTGTTTATGCTACACTGGGCACATGCTGGATTGAGGCCATTGTTGGACTCTGCCTTTAATCAGCCTCAGACAACTTGGCCAGTGGTCAAGGATGTGAGTGGTTTTGAACTGGCATCTATTTTCTACACCTGCTCTGTGTCAACAACATGCACATCTCTCTCTATGTTTGAAGAAATCAAAGTGCTTCATAATCTTGGCACAAAGCAATTTGGTTCCCTACAGAACATCTACAGGAGGCATGTTACATAAATGGACCTGAGGTGAAGCAAATAACTGGTATACACAATTTATTTCAATTATGTAAGGCTTGCTAAGTCTTTTCAGAGTTGTAATATTTGTGAAGGTAAACTGAATTTCCTCTGCCTCTTTTTGAAATGAGTTTTTGAAAATCGAGTAGCAGATAGATAGAATCATAGAATCATAGAATCAAAGAGTTGGAAGAGACCTCATGGGCCATCCAGTCCAACCCCCTGCCAAGAAGCAGGAATTAGATGGCCCCGGGGGTGGTGGTGGTTCTTCTTCTCCTTCTTTTTCTTAAGGTTGGGTGGCCATCTTTTGAGGGGTGCTTTGATTGTTCTTTTCCTGCATGATATAACATAATATATAAACATTTTGGAGGGCTCCAAAATGATTAAAAAAGGGCTCTGTGGCTGAAAATGTTTGAGAACCCTGGCCTAATGTATTCATGAAAGAAAATCTGCAGGAAGAGCAGCATATGAAAGTCTAAAGCTTCATGTTGTATACCATGCTTCTCTGCCCTTAAACTTTTTTTGTTTTTATTTGTGGATGAAAAAGTGGTTTTTGATCTCTGGAAAGAGCTGAGAAACAGAAAGCACAGATAAATGTTTAGAGTATTCATAACTCTCTCAGAATGGGAATGTTAACCCAACTAAAAGTCAACCGGGGTCACAGCTGATGGTGACTGAAGCCCGAGTCAAAAATAGCAGAAGCAGGGTTGTGTTTACAGAAAGGGGAAATTGAGGACAATTTCCCTCTAAATCAGAATTCAGCCTCCTTCCATTAAATATGCATTCAGTCTCCAAATTTCCAGAGATCCAGCATGGCATAGCGGTTTGAGTGTTGGACCATGATTCTGGAGAACATGATTCAAATCTCTGCTTGGTCATGGAAACCCACTGGGTGAACCTGGAAAAGTTAGCCATAAGTCAGAAATAACTTGAAGGCACACAACATATCCAAATTTCTAGCTTTGTGAAAAATTGCACCTAGAAGTCTGGATTCAGATTCCCTTGGTAATTTTACCTCTTCTCCTTTTTAGTTACCAAATCTCTAAATACTTAGAATACTTCATATCCTCTGTCATTGCTATACCCTAGAACAGATTCTGCTTACTTCTTTGTGCTACTTCACCCCATTCTTTTTCGTTTTCCTGATGAGTCGTCCATATACTTGCACTCATATGGATGGAAGAAGAGGACATGGAAATCATGTGGATTAATATGAAACCAGAGCAAAGGGCTGTAGTCTAGTACTATAAAATGTATTGAATATCTTTTTTCAATGTTTTCCTCTATTTTTTTAGCACCATTTTTAAAAATGGGCAAAAATACTGCAAAAGTGAAACAATTGCTCAAATTATATTTTAATGCCTTCATTTGATGTTCTTTTACCAGTTGGAAATACAAACACTGCTTCATTAATCTCTTGATTTACTGGATACAGACTGTAAAGAGTTTGCTTCTATAAATATAAATATAAATATAAACCCCAGACTAAACTCTAGACTAGAGAATGAGAGGTCATACTTTGGTCCTATATTCAAATTAAAGTGTGGAGTGTTTAAGGGTCAGATTTTCACACACTGTGAACAGTTGTTGCATTATTGTTCTTATTTTAAAAAGCAGCACAGATTTTCATGGAGATTCAATATCATCTTAATGCAGGAATATGTGGTTCTCCAAATGTTGCTGATCTGTAATCTCATCATTGTTTACAATTGGCTGCGTTAACTAAGGAAGAGAAGTAACATCTGGAAGATTGCATTTTCTTCACTCTGTGGTTATGTCTTTAGCATTTAGTACATTCTAAAACTTAAGACTGGTTATATTGATACAACAAGAGAGTTAGTGATGATCCAAAAGATGGATCTCTGTTACATAATTTATTCCACTTCTGCAGTTTTGTAACTGTGTTCTGTTGTGGAGTGGAATATATTAGTTCAAAAATATCTGATCAGAAATAATGATACAAATGCTATTGTCAAAATCTCTTTGGTCATATCTTTAAAGCGGACCTGTGAGGGACAGAGTGACCAGCAGGAAGACAAAAGGCCAAAATTGGAGAATAATTACCAAGATGCCTGACATTTCGGTCATCTAGTAATTTCAGTACAGATTACTTTGTGATAAGAGATCAATTTCAGCAGATTAAACATGAATTCTAAAAGCCCTTGGAAGGCCGTCTCCTTAGTTGCAGTATCTTTGAGGGGATGCTGTTTGATAGTAGGTTGCCATAGTTACTTAGGAAGGCTTGCTGCATTTGCCTTGCCTAACCTCCATCTAAGCACCACTTTGCCCTTTGCACAAATAGCTGATTCTTTGTGGTCTGTATTAATTTTGTGACTATTGAATCTCTTGAACAAAACTAATGATATAGCACAATGGATGCATTAGCACAGCATGGCAAGGCAGAACATTAGCTTGTATATGAGCAACCTGCTGGTGCATGTTGCTTGAATGTGTGCTAAGGCTGCTTATAATAATATAATAATGCATTTTATTTGTTACCCACCAATTCTTGCATCTTAAGGCGGAATATAACACAGTTGATTGCTATAAAACACCTAGTGTTACTTCACTGTAGGAAATGGCGAAACTCTGGAGTAGCTCGGCTCTCTAGATGAGTGTGGACATCTGGCCAGGTTCTCATTTCAATTTGTCCACTATTCATATAGTTAGGCAGCACAGGGAAAAGCAGATGGATCAGGGTTGTATTGTCCCTGACACTGCGGCAACCGGCCAAGAGGATGTTCTGTACTGGCCCCAGATTTCATTGTACGTGTAGGCAAATCCTTGGTATTTATTTATTTACTTTATTTATACCCACCTTTCTCTACCCCAAGGTGGCTTACATGTGGCACCTCTGCAGTGCCTTAAAAACATACAATGTTAACTTAAAAATAACTTGAATTAAAATTAATACATATTAAACATACCATAATTAAAATACATTCCGATGTTAAACACGCCATCCAGGGTCAGAGTCCAAGGCTGTTCTGTAGTCAATTACACATATTCCACATTAAAATTGCTGTACTGCACTATTTTTTCAAAATCCTGCTCCCAGAGCCAGGTATCTCCTGGTAGCAGGAGTTGGGAGACCATGACTTGAGGAACCACAAAACCAGCCTGAGGGTTGGATTTGGCTAATCGGCAATGGCCTATGTAAAGTGGATTTCCCACATTTCTACATGGTTTCTTGAAAACTTTCAAAAGGGACTCTATTTTCTCTTGGTGTGGTTCATTAAAAATAGTTGTTCCCTACACTTTGGGTGGAACTGTAATATAACAGGGATAAAGTGAAATCTGTTTCACTTTACTGATTGTCTTACTAAAGGCAACTTAGTACAGGCAGTCCCAAGTTATGTACAAGATAGGTTCTGTAGGTTTGTTCTTATGTTGAATTTGTATGTAATTCGGAACAGGTACATTTTAAAGTTTAATTCCTGCCACACACACAGCTAGGTTTGGATAGCATGGCGAAGGGGATTAACAACCTTGTGGAGTTTATTTTGTTATCTGTGCCCCTTTTCAGAAGCTTTCACCTCACTTTCTGTCCTTGTGATAGTTGGATATTGAAAAATGTGGCTTGTTGTGAAAACAGGGATTGGGGAGAAAGCTTCAGTGGAGACCCTTTTTTCCCATGATAACTCTTTCAGGAGTGAATTTTCCCTCCTAGGGGTAGATTTCTCTTACTTCTTGTTGCCTCATCTGTCCTTAACTATGAGTCATTTGTAAGTTGGATATTTGTAACTCAGAGACTGCCTGTATATGATTGTGGTCACATACAGTATATTCTAAGGTGGCTGGGGCAGGACATCATATGATAAGTAATTTCTTCTATCCATCAATAAGCTATATCTTTCTAGATTTAATAATGCCACTTTATTGCTGGCTAGTTGACACGTCACAGTTTGGTTGACACGTCACAGCTTTTGTTAGTGTTGGATGATTTAAATTTCTGACATTTTTGATGGGTCCTATTTTTTAAGAGCCCCTGGTGGCACAGTGGGTTAAAGTGCTGAGCTGCTGAACTTGCTGACCAAAAGGTTGGTGGTTCAAACCTGGGGAGTGAGGTGAGCTGTTAGCCCCAGCTTCTGCTAACCTAGCAGTTCGAAAACATGTAAATGTGTGTAGATCAATAGGCACTGTTTGGCGGGAAGGTAATGGTGCTCCATGCAGGCTGCCAGCCACATGACTTTGGAGGTGCCTAAGGACAACAGTGGCTCTTCGACTTACACACCCCAGAGTCGGACTCAACTAGACTTAATGTCAAGGGGAAACCTTTACCTTTACTTATTTTTGAAATCAACAGAAGACAACCAAGTGAACATGGTTCACTGTAGAATTAGTGATATTGTCTTTAATAGAATACTTTTTTAAATGTTAAGGATTTATTTCAAGAAGGTGTGAAGGGACAGCATCATGTAGCCTTTGTTTGCTTTTTAGGTCTATCAGCAGCCAAGTTGCTTTTTGACTCAGGATTAAATGTTGTGGTTCTGGAAGCCCGTGACAGGGTCGGAGGCAGAACATTCACTGTAAGAGTAAGTAATTCTGTTTAATATCCTTATATAATATTTCAATTACTTATACAGGCATAATTCAAACATCTGTGGGAGAGATAACGACAATATAAGTTGATCTCATGTATAAGTTGAGAGCAAGTTTTGGAGGCAAAATTATGGATTTTAATATGACCCATGGATAAGTCAAGGATCATTATATAGAAAGGGGAAAGCAGCAATGCCACCTCAGAGGGGCAGCCACTACTGGATGTCACTACCATTTTCCCATCCAGATATTCAAAAAGGACAGAAGTGGTACCACAAAGGAGAGATTAGAGGGGGTCAGGGCTTCATTCAGGTTCTCTTGAGATGGACTAAGTTCTTGCCTTCTGGAACTCTACTCAGAGAAGAGGATGGCTCCTCTTTTCATAAGACTTAAGGTACAGTATTCACATTGATTCCATGGATAAGTCGGCCCTGTTTTGGGGGGTTGGGTTTTTAACCAAATTTTCTAGACTTCTACATAAGTATATAGAACAGTCATATTGTGTTTTAGTAATTGCCTTAACTCCATGTATTCATTATGACAGAGAAACTGTTTTGAATGACATTTTGTGTTCTAGGGCAGGGAGTATTGGAAACATGTTTCTTTAATTTTCATCCCACAAAACAAACTGGTATTTGATGTAGAAACACGAATTTTTTTTAAAAAAAAATTGGGTCTCAGGTTTTATTTGATTTTTCTTTGCCAATAATATATGTTTTCCTCCTGTTTCTGTATCAGAATAAACATGTGAAATATGTAGACCTGGGAGGAGCATATGTGGGACCAACACAAAATCGTATTTTGAGGCTATCTAAGGAATTGGGACTTGAGACGTACAAAGTGAATGAAGTTGAGCATCTCATTCATCATGTCAAAGTAAGAGCAAAACCTTCTCTGAACTGTTTTAATCATTTAATACTTTTTATGAAATGTTATTTGCTAATTAGATATGAAACAATTCTTCAAACTAATGAGTTATACAGTTTGGTAAGAAAATATGTTTGAAGTTTTTTCCCCTTCACCTTTCGTTATTTTGAAAGTCTCCAAAGGGCAGAATTTTCCTCTTTGGGTCAGGACCTTCAAACATTTTTTAAGGAAATATGGAAAGGCATAGGGAGATGAGTATAAGTCCTTGGCTAAAACTTTTCTGTCATTTTTCTTGAGGTCTGATGTTAGGACTTGAGCTGTGCTTAGGAAATGTATTATAACTAAAGTGTAAAATTTAATGTCCAATCAACCAGGAAACCGGTAAGTTCACAATTGCTTTTCTCCCTTTGTCACTTCCGCAAAAGGAAAGAGTTAGAGTGGATCAAGTAATTTTAATTTCAAGGACCAAAACAAGATAGAGACCAAGATTTTCTATAGCAATTTTCTATTAAAATTTCATTTTACATCATTTTTTTAAATACAGAACTATGAAGGGCAATCTTGTTCTTTAGCCTGTCTTAGACTTTGAAATTACAGTATGTACCTGAAATTAAACAAGGAATCTAATGTGAATAAATGAACTAATTTAAGAAATCTGTTCTTTTTGTTGGCCTCTAGACAAGATTACCAAAAATATCTTGCCTACAGGACAGCAAGATGAACTGATTTCCTGAAATAGTTCAGGAAAATATAAAATGTAATTTTTTACATGATGCTTCCTCTTTCATTTGTTTTATGGGTATTTTTGCATTGTACTTAAAAGTGTAGCTCCTGTTAAGATCTTCATTGCATTTGAATAAATCTTAGATAGAAACATAATTATAATATACAGTATATTCTGGCGTATAAGACTACTTTTTAACCCAAGAAAATCTTCTCAAAAGTCAGGGGTCGTCTTATACGCGAGTGTAGTCTTATGCATGGGAGTCATCTTAACTCTATATTTTAACTGGAAAAGTTGGGGGTCGTCTTATACGCCCAGTCGTCTTATATACCGGAATATACGGTATATATATATATATATATATATATATATATATATATATATATATATATAAAAATTGAAAACCAATTGGAAGATCTTGTTGTACTGAGAAGCCTTAATGCCTGGAGAACTTCCCTAATTATATCTTGAAGGCAATACCAGAATATTGTACTAAATTATTCAATCTGGGCCAGAGATTGACTGTCAGATTACATAAACTCAGTTTGTTTCTCTTGAATGGCAAAAGGTTAATGATGACTCTGTGGGTCATTTTACCTGCATGTCACACAAGGGCAATGACATGAATCATTATGTTATTCTATTACATTGTATTTGGCAGTGCATTTGACAGTGGCACTAATTTTTACAGTAGCTATAATGGCAGATACTGATCATTACTGAGAGCAAATGGTTTACAACCCCTCTGGCTTTCCGGATATTGTAAATACTCCCCAAAGAAGTGTAGATGCACTCATGTTTCAACCAGTCACACTCTTTTTGCATTGTGTGTGCAGACTTGCGCTTGAACAGTAGATACTTCATTCACTTAGGACCTATTATTCCCAACCCCTTAGTCTGACCCGGCACTTGTCTGTGGCAGTCATGCACCACTAGCTGTCAATCTGTCTTGGGTTTATAAAATAGCTACACTGGCCAACGCCCGTTTTGGCGCCTCGAATGTTAGACCTGTTTCTAGGTTTATTTGACCTGCTTTTTCCAAAAAATGGCACCAGTTATCCCCTATCAGCTTTGGATCTTGAAATACAGAACATATGCCATATATCGGTCGCCATCTGCTCACTCATAAAGAATTGTGATAACCATATTTAATGAACTAGAGATGATGCGGTCCATCCAATGCAATTTTTTTTTAATCAGAGTGCCAAATAACCCCATGAACAGATCTACAAATCAAGAGATCAGAAAACATTTTTTGTTGGGTGTGTAAACCTAGATCTTGTCTATAAAAGAACCAAATGGTGGGTAACTTCAATTTAAAATCTTCTTCCATTGATTCTCCTTCCCATTCCACCTGCTATCTAGACTTTGGAAATGTAGTTTCTGGTAGCCTAAGAGTTACTATTAAAATATGCCTAACTAATATTATATTCCATAATATTCCATAATATACAATTCTGCATTGACTTGATATTAATATTGAAACACAGTAATTAAAAGCAAATGAAGATAAATAAAGACAAACCTAACACAGTTTTACTGTATTATACATGTATTTTCATTTTTATTTAAATATTAATTCTTCAGTTGCTTGAGAGTTCTGGTTCCTTGACTTCTCGTTAACCGAGTCTATTGTATCATGTATCCCTTTTCTTTGCCTTCCTTCTCCACTATTTTTCTGTTTCCTCACTTTGAATCTCGATCCTGTTTTATCAAGCTAATGTATCAACTAGCTTTCAACTTTCCCATTAATCTTCTCCTAAGAGCATATGCTCTTCTTGACATTTTTGGAATTGGCTGTACTATGAGACAGATTGAGACAACCATTGTGGGCAGCAGATGCCAGGGATGGAAAATGGCAACAAATAGTTGCTGGTATGAGCTGTATCCAATACCTTGTCTTTAATTTAGCCAAATTTCATAGGCATCAAAATAAGATTCAAATGTCAATCTAATAATCTTCTATATATGGAATGTCCCTTGCCTCAGATAACAACATGTCCTGTATCAGCTATGTGCCTTCCACACTCTAAGATATCTAGCCCCATCTCTTAGGCATCTCTAGTTCACTTTTATGCCCCTTCTGCCATGCTACCTGAGGCGTGCCTTCTCCACTCCACATTCCTGTAGGTTTGTGGAACTTGGTCCATTGCCTACCCAGCACATTTCTTTTAGAAACACCCTTCTAGTCTTCATAAAGTAGATGCTTCATTCACTCAGGACCTATTATTCCCAACCCTTAGTCTGACCCGGCACTTGTCTGTGGCAGTCATGCACCACTGGCTGTCAATTTGCCTTGGGTTTCTGGAAACCTCTGTAAATATTATAATGGTGCACATTTGGTTCTGGTTCCTGGTCCTGTTGCGGTTTGTTAGTTTATATTGAATCTACACAGCAGTC